ACTGATTTAGTGTGTACTGAGTTCATGTGTCTTTATTTAAGAGGGATAAATATGAACAACATAAATACTACAAGCATAATATATAATATCTGCTTAGTTCACAAAACTATTATTCAGTAATAATCATTCAGTTTTGTAAGTAATTTATAACTGATGAATGTTTCTTTTCAGACCAGATTGATTTTACTAAAAAACCTTTTAAGCAAGCAAGGAAGCCCATTGACCCAAAAAGAGCTGGCCCAACTAGCTAGGTGAGTACTTCATTGTTATACTGTGAACCAGTAATATTTCTAGCATTCATTTCAGCTACTTCTGTTTACTTTGAGTAGAATTTATGCTAATAATGTATAACGTGAGAATGAACTGTACATATTCTGGAAGATATGAAGGCAGTAGCACCCTTTTCTGAGACTGTAAGAGTAGTGTTCATACTATTTTCTCACCACCCAGGTCTGCTGTTGAAACAAGCTGATCAGCACTCTGTCTGAGGCAGGAGCAGAAGGGAAGCTCCTTCCCATCCATACTCTGGGCAAGCCCCATCTTGTTCCCTGCTGCCAAAAGAGAGCACCTGCTTAAACATTTTGTGTGCATTTCAGGTTGAAAAAGCATCTCATTGGTTTGGGTTTTGCTTTTTCATGATTTGTAGATTATTGGGGTTGGTAATACAGAAATTGCAAGCACAAAATTGCAGAGACTTTGTAATTTGTGTGGTCTTTCTGGTATTTTTATCTGAACTTGAATTGAAATAGCCCTAAAAGTGGTTTTTATCCATAGTGAAAATTATTTTTTCACACTTAAGGATCACTACATAGCTATATGCTTATCCTGTAAAAGTGGTTGCATTATAAATATTCTTTTGGGGACAGAAAATGAAGAGAATTTAAGAAATATTCTTTAACAGAAGCACAAGGTTTCTTTCTGACCATATTTTTAAGGAGGTGAAGTCATCTTGGTAGACCAGGAAGAGGAGGAAAACTGAATAAGGTAGATAGCATCAAGACTTTCAATGGCTCCAGTATAGCCAGTAGTAGTAGTAGTAATGTTGGCATGCATGGTTCTCTGGGCTTATATGTCAGCCTCTTTGTATCCATAGCATTACATATTTGAGGCGCAATTTAGTCATTGCTTGTTGTCATCTTAATTCTTACATGGAGCTTAATGTTGCTGCTGCTAGCACCAGACTGAATAAAAAGGAATTGGGTGCTGATGGCAGATTTTATGCACCATATACAAACCAAATTAAGTGCGCAACTTCTTTATGGTCTCACTTTTCCTGCTACAGACTTTGTTTGATTTATGTTCACATCTCCTTATTTGGAACGTATATGGGATTTGCTCTGATGTTTAATTCTTTATAATCAACAAGTTTTTCTGCCCCAAAGTCCCCTAAAATAATAATGGGGTGCATATTGCTAACTACATCATGAATGAGTTGCTTTAACTGCTGTTGTGAAGCTCAGCAGTTAAGTAATGGCTGTTTTCAGAAAGGCAAGGTACACAGTAAGCAGGTCTCACTGTCCTTTACCACTACTGTTATTTTGTACAATCAGTCTTTTCAGTATAAAAAAGGATTGGTTTCCATTTTTGTGGAATTCAAGTCTTTTGAGATGCTGTGGCCACAGCTGCAGCAGCATTCCCGTGAGACTCAACTCTAGCTCCTTTCAACGTCCACAACAGCCACGATTGTAGTCAGAATACCTACAAAAAACTAGCTTTTGAATCGAGAGCAGCAAATTCTAAGGTTAATTCCGGACAAACTGAGATGATGGTGGTTAGTGGTCAGAATCTGAAGTATTTTTGAAGATACTATCTCCATCTGCCTTCAGAAACATGCAGTCTTAGAATGCGGGCTCCCTATGAACTGGATGACAGGGCACTAGGGGCCAGATTTAGCCCTTGGCTCACCATCCCTAATCTAAACCATGTACCGTTGTGCTAGATTTGGAACATGCAGCTTGCAAAGCCTGAGGATACGTCACTTGTTGGTTCAGGGATTCGGTCATGGAATAAACCTTCAGAGGAAATAGGGCCCACCCAGTATCTGACCATTGCTGGGAAATGTAACAAAACCTACATTTTTGAAAAGCACTTCTATTCTAACGATAACTTCCTCTATGATTAAAAATATATGTTTTTGCTTTAGGTTTTTTTTAATACATTACCCAAAGGGACACACTTATCAGCTGCATCACTATTGCTGGTTTTATATAGAAGGCACTCTTACTTTGTAGTATGGGATATCAGTAGAAACCAATAAGATAATTATAGTAACTGATGTATTAAGTATATAAGTATTATTTGCTGTGGCCAGATAATATGGAAAAAAGTGTATCAACCAAAGTTATAAGTGTAATGGATAATTACTTTCGTGATATGAGATTTGCCCTCAATAACACACTGCATAGTATAAACTTCCTCTCTTCCCCTCCACCCCCCAACTTATTCCTTTTAGTCTTTGTTGTGTTCTGCTGTTAATCAGGATCCAAGTCTTGCAGTAGAGTGTGTCATCCAGGAAATCTGACGTGGTAGAAGCAAAATAAAAGCATTTGTTATGTTAGTCATAGGGTGTGTTCCCATGAGTTCACACGTGCTGTCTGAGACGCCACAAACCGCATGTGGTGAACATGCAGGTGTTTGCCACATTTCTAATTTTCAGTATAGTGGGTTTTTTGACAACTGGAAATGCAGGTGTAAAAACCAAAAAAAAACACCTCACCACTAAAAAAAAGCGGTGCACCACACATGGTAGCATACACCACCAGAATAACAGAGTCATAGAAAAGTAGGGTTGAAAGGGACCTCAGGAGGTCATCTAGTCCAACCCCCTGCTCAAAGTAGGATCATCCGCAAGTAGATCATCCCAGCCAAAGCTTTGTTTAGTCAGGTCTTAAAAACCTTCAACGATGGAGATTCCACCACCTCTCTGAATAACCTTTTCCAGTGTTTTACTACCTTCCTAGTGAGAAAATACTTCCTAATATCTAACCTAAAATTCCCTTGCTGCAACTTGAAACCATTGCTCCTTGTTCTGTCATCTGCCATCACTGAGAACAGTCTATCCTCTTTCGAACCCCCCTCCCCTTCAGGTAGTTGAAGGCTGCTATTTAATCCCTTGTCTTCTCTTCCCTAGACTAAATAAGCCCAGTTCCCTCAGCCTCTCC